TTCCTTCCTGACAAATGACCAGCAGTCACAGACTAGTTCTGGCTGCTTTACTCAGGCTGTGCACCTTTTGACATATAAAGCTTAATTTTACTGCGTTTAATGTTAAGTCTCCACCCCAAGAGAAGATGGGGTTTGTGTAACATGTATGTTTGCTTATACATGCATGAGTCCACCATTCATGAATATGCATAGCTCCTTCTATAACCTGTTAAATATGTACGTTAGCTAGCCCATTTAGTGTAAAACTCCTGTTCCCCACTTCTTCCCTTGAAATGGTTGCTTTTGTTCCCAGCCAAAGGCTCTACTTCCCAGCCTGCAGGTTGCACCTCAATATAAGAAATAAAGTTCTTCCCTAATGTATAGATCTCATGATTTTAAGTCAACACCCTACAGAAAGTCCTATCTCCCGGCTTTGTCTGTTTGCTAAATAGTAGTGTCATTGAGCTTGTTCTCTAATCCCCTGTATTTGCTATAAACTCAGGGTTATATCTAAAGACTAGCCATATCTAAAAAAAAAACAAATTATGCCCTATTTGCTGTCCCTCTGTATCCCTAGATCATAGGTAACAGTGATGTGACACGATTCAGTGAGCCCAAACACTGAGGCTTCAACTGAAGAGTTATCGTCTTCTCCTGGTTACAAACAGTGCCGTTTTCTGCTCTCACTTTGTTTTGAAAACTAAAAGTCAATATTTGAAGAACTCTTAGATAATAAAGTAGGTGCTGCTTTTCAAGCCAGCTATTTGAAGAAAGTTAATGAAAAAGAAACATTACTGATCTATATAGGGAACATGCTACCGAATGTATGAATCCTTCACTTTTCTCCCCTAATCGGAAGTAGTAATTTTCCACTTTGCCTTGTTTTTCTTCCTGTCATTCCTTCCCACCCATATCTCTTGCTTTCTTAACTTTTCAAGCTACTTACTATCTTTAGCTGGATCTGGCTAGACATTGGTTTTCATACAGTATTTGTCTACTTTGTTCGAGTTTACGTGCCAATAGGCATACGTCTAATAGAGACTTTTAATTTTTTTTTCTTTTTTGAGACGGAGTCTTGCTCTGTCGCCCAGGCTGGAGTGCAGTGGCGCAATCTCGGCTCACTGCAACCTCCGCCTCCTGGGTTCACGCCATTCTCCTGCCTCAGCCTCCCGAGTAGCTGGGACTATAGGCGCTCGCCACTACGCCCGGCTAATTTTTTGTATTCTTTAGTAGACACGGGTTTTCACTGTGTTAGCTAGGATGGTCTCGATCTCCTGACCTCGTAATCCGCCCACCTCAGCCTCCTGAAGTGCTGGGATTACAGGCGTGGGCTACCGCCCCAGCCAGAGACTTTAAATTTAAAATATACTACTGTTAACCTCAAATAACCAAAAAGGTCAGAATCTAGTTTACAGAGTTTATTCAAGCACAACAGTTGAGGACTGCAGCCCAGGACACACTTCCAAGTTGCCTTGGGGACTGCTCCAGGGAACAAAAGAGAGGCTCAAGTTTTTAAAGGACAAATCAAAAGGGAGGGGGGCGCGGTTACAAAAATTGTTAATCAGGGATTCTCATTGGTTTACAGAAATAACATTGGTTAGAGATTGGCTATGTATTGTTGAACTATAGGGTGTATGGCATTTTACGGCCACTTGGCTTCAGTCTAGAGCCCACATAGCAATTGGCTTCAAGAAGTAATTACTTAGCTCAAAGGGGAGTGAGCATGGACTGCTGTGAACATTTTAAATGCCTTCTGGGCCTGATAATTTAAAGGTGCTTGCATTTCTCAGATACAAGGTTTTTGTTCTCACTATCCCTTAACATAGATAAGATCGTTTTGAACAAGTTAAATAAATAGGATTTTGAGTGGCTTTATTTTCGTGATTACATCATGAGTCTTAATGTTCAAAACATACTGACTCACATTTGGCTATTTGATAATGCATTCTTGGATCAGGAGCCTTAACCACTTAAGGTGGTATGGCAGTATGGCTAAAGCTGATTGAAATTCCATTTGTTGTTGGCATGTTACAGTGTTTGTAATAACACTGTTCCCAATAATTACATGTTAATAGGAGTTTTAATTTGCAAAATGCGTTCATATTCGTTTTTGGATTTGAGCCACATTTTGTTGCTGGAAGGAAAAAGTTTATGTCCATCCTACTAGTGAGAAAACGGAGGCTCAGAAAGACTCACTTATTTGTTGCAGGTGAGCTGTGACTATCTGGGCCAGCAGTACGAGGCTACAAGAATTTATCAAGACTGGCCGGGCACAGTGCCTCACGCCTGTAATCCCAGCATTTTGGGAGGCCAAGGCAGGGGGAGCTCCTGAGGTCAGGAGTTTGAGACCAGCCTGTCCAACATGGTGAAACCCCATCTCTACTAAAAATACAAAAAATTAGCTGGGTGTGGTGGTGGGCGCCTATAATCCCAGCTACTTGGGAGGCTGAGACAGGAGAATTGCGTGAACCCGGGAGGCGGAGGTTGCAGTGAGCCGAGATTGTGCCACTGCACTGTAGCCTGGGCGATAGAGTGAGACTCTGTCTCAAAAAGAAAAAAAAAGAAAGATTATGATGATGCCAAAGTGTGGGAGGATGGTGTGTGGTCAGCTGCGATTACCACTGTCCACATCTGCGTGGCCTTTAAGCGCTTCTCCCTGCACTTGGGTCAAGGGACTTTCGAAGGAGTTTTCCTGCATTTCTGCCTGCCCAGATAAACCCAGAGACTATTCTGGGATGTAGGACCTGCTTCCCTCTTCAGCCAGGACCTATAGACCTTTCTCATCCTTCATTTCCCCCATCTCAAATCTCAAATCCCCAAGCAGAATATCCTATCACTCTGGCCTGCCTTCAGCAAAAATCCGTCAAGTTGAGTAAACCCAGAATCTTCCCTCACCTTTGATGTTTCCTCTTAGTAATTTTTCATCTGTTGATCCCCATTCTACTTGGTGGCAATAAATCCTCACTTGTCCTTGTATTCAAAATTGAGCCCAGTCCCTCCTGCTTCTGCAAAAGCTTCCCTGCCGTCAGTAGTCTCTCTTGAATAAAGGCTTCCTCATAGTCTTTGACAAGTGTTATGAATAATTGTTTGCTTAACACTGCACAAAGGGGAAATGGTCTAGAAGTGATACAGACCATTTCTGTTTTCCTAATGATCAGTGATGATCGGTGACCCTAGACTAAACCTCTGCGAAGGATTATTTTAGGCAGAAAGGCCTCTCCTCTTCCCTGGGTTTCCTTTCTCAGTCTGACCCCTTTATCTAATTTCCTTTCCTTACTTTTAAAAAAACTAGATAGTAATTCTCCTGATTGGGCCATTCCACCAAACTCCTACAGTATGTATCGTATTAGATGATGTTTGTATGTTAGTAGCCCTTTTAAAGGGTACCACATCCCACCCATTTTTGTTGACATGTTGGCACTCAAATACCTTTGTCGTTTTCTGCATTTTACTTTTCCCCCTGTTGTTTCAAATGCCTGGAATACTCTCTTCACTATCTCTTAAATTCTCTAAACTCCCATTCACTTTCAAGGTGTGTCTTATTGGTGGAGCAGACATTCCTGGGGACCAGCTTGGCAGAAATTAAAATGAGAACATACCAAGAAACTGAAACTTCGCAGAAATAATGTAGGGAGTCTGTTGGTAATCAGCTGCCTACCACCACCGCACATTTTGAGATTCTCCTGCTAAAAGCTAAATGATATGTATTTTCAATAACGGGGGCATTTTTCTTCTTGCCTGTGATCAATCACAGTTTGACTTCATATCTTGTTGTTCCCCATGTTCCCTTATATTCTGCAGCAGGACAGAGCTTCCTGTTGCATCCAGTATTTTAAAAACAAGTGTCTGTACCATAGCTGAGTCTAGCGTCTTCTGACCCCTCCCTTCCTTACACTGTCTTCCCTCAGTATCAGCAGGAGATTGGTTCCAGGACCTCCTGCAGATACCAAACCCTCGCATGTTCCAGTCCCTTACATAAAATGGCATGGTGTTTGCCTATAACCTATGCATATCCTCATGTATGCTTTTTTTTTTTTTTTGAGACGGAGTCTCGCTCTGTCACCCAGGCTGAAGTGCAGTGGCGCGATCTCGGCTCACTGCAAGCTCCGCCTCCCGGGTTCACGCCATTCGCCTGCCTCAGCCTCCCGAGTAGCTGGGACTACAGGCGCCCGCCACCGCGCCCAGCTAGTTTTTTTGTATTTTTTTAGTAGAGACGGGGTTTCACCGTGTTAGCCAGGATGGTCTCGATCTCCTGACCTCATGATCCACCCGTCTCGGCCTCCCAAAGTGCTGGGATTACAGGCTTGAGCCACCGCGCCCGGCCTCATGTATGCTTTAAATCATGTCTAGATTACTTAAAATACCTAATTTGAGGTAAATGCTATGTAAATGGTTTTTATACCTTACTGTACTTTTATTTATATATTATTTATTGTTGTATTTTTATTTTTATTTTCTAATATTTTCAATTGACCTGTGGTTGGCTGAATCTACAGCTCCAGATCCCAGAGATACAGAGGGTCAATTGTTCTTCTCTCCAGCAGCCGGAACAGCCTGTAGCTCTTTACAAGCACTGTGCTTTTTCCTATCCTGAGGGCTTTGCTCCCACTGCTTCCTCTGTCTGCAGTTACCTCTGTTCCACTGGATAATAGCCACTCATCCTTTAAGATGCAGTTCAATGATTACTTCTTTCTGGAAGCCTCTTCTGAGCCAGCCACCAGACTAGGTTGGGTGTTCCCCTTCTGTATCCCATAGTACCAGTGTTGACTTCTAATATTTCATAATTGTGTGATAATGGATCTGCCTTACCAATTCTGCAGTGAGTTTCTTGAAAGCAGGAATTATATCCTATTCATCTTTGTATCCCATGTTTCTAGCACAGTAGTTGACAAGTGGTAGGCACTTGGATATTGTTTGAGTAGATGAGTGTGTGAACAAAAAGTTTAGTAACAAGGTTTTTATTTAAGTAGAAGTTTCAACTAGAGACTCAATAATTAATTAGTGATTTTTGCTTTCTACAGATATTGGTATCAACTTGACTGACCCTATGTTCAGAGGAATTTATAGGGGGGTTCAAAAGCATCAAGGTAAGTATTTCCTTTATTAAGGCAAATAGTTTCTCTATAAAGACAAATTTTCTGCCTCAGGAGATCTTGAAAAGCATAATCCAAGCTGGGCCTTGTGACTCACACCTGTAATCCCACCACTTTGGGAGTCTGAGGCGGGAAGATTGCCCGAGCACAGGAGTTCAAGACCAGCCTGGGCAACATAATCCACTCTTAAAGTTGAAATAATAAAGAACTCATGGCTGGGCGCGGTGGCTCACGCCTGTAATCCCAACACTTTGGGAGGCCGAGGCAAGCAGATCACCTGAGGTCAGGAGTTCGAGACCAGCCTGGCCAACATGGTGAAACCCCATCTCTACTAAAAATACAAAAAAAATTAGCCAGGCGTGCTGGCAAGCACCTGTGATCCCAGCTACTTGGGAGGCTGAGGCACAAGAATCGCTTGAACCCGGCCGGTAGAGGTTGTAGTGAGCCGAGACTGCACCGTTGTACTCCAGCCTGGGCAACAAGAATGAAACTCCGTCTCAAAAAAAAAAAAAACAGAGAGAACTCCCTATGCATTTTGGATAAAACTGTAAACAAAGTGAAATACATTTATTGATAAACCATGATCATGAACATTTATAATGAAGTTTAATTCAGGTCTTTTTACCTATAGAAGTTTATAATTTCAAATATAAAACTTCAAATAGCCATTTGCACAAAAGCTAAAAAAAAGTCAAATTTTTGTCTGCCAGGTTTTCTTAATGCAGAGTTTATCTTTTACAGATGACTTACAGGATGTAATAGGGAGAGCTGTCGAGATTGGTGTTAAAAAGGTAACATCTGTTTTGTTTTTCTTGAGAATTTTAAATTTATTTTTTAACTAAATTTTAGTTAAAATTTTGCAGAGTAGAAGGGAACAAGCCAATGCCACACTTGGAGTACAAATTGTCTACTTGTGATATTAGAAAGTTAATTGAAACAAAATATCCAAATATTCTGTTCATAGCAATTTAAGTTACACAAATCTCATATATAGTTCTTATATATGATAAATGGCAAAACCTCTTTGAAAAAAATTTTTTAAACCTATGTGAATTACCAGGTTTCTAAAGAGGCAACTTTTAATCAGTTTTATAATATAATTTAGCATTTGTCAGAATTAAGCAATAATCAAAAATACACCAAGTGTAGCTATTTATAGTTTGGGTATACCACTTCAAATAATGGAGATAATACTTTAATTTTTACAGTAATAAAATGTCTCCGGTTTTTTAGAGAGTTCTAGTAAGCAAATGAATAGATATTTCTTTAAATTAGCTTTAAAACAGAGAGCTAGCCCACACATACACGTAAGAAATAAGGTTAAATTCCATAGTATGCTGTCAGGACACTTGATAGCTACTGCCTCCAAGTTGAATAACATGTTTTGGAAAGTGACACTGCTGACTAAATGAGTTTTGCAGTCTCCAACTCCAAACTTGTATTTGTTATTATTCACAAATAATATGAAAAGATAGAAGTTACATTAATTTCTCATTGTGGAGTCATTCTGCTTGGTAAATCACTTTAAACAATGGTTTTCTGAAGACTCCAAAATACTAAGCTCTTAAATTTTCATGTGTTAGCCATGAGTAATTTAATCTTAATGTTTATTCACACACATGCACACACACAACACACACACACTTAGGAATGACGGAACTGAAGTGATTTTTACTTGGACATGGTTCCAAACTGAAATTTAATTCAATACCTTGCATTTATGTTATAGTAGTTAAAAGCATAGTTAGGGCGTAACAAACCTGGTGTCCAGCCCCTGCTTCATTTTTTGTAGCTTTATAACCTGGGGTCTTTTATCTCACTAGATTTCAGTTTTCTCATCTGTAAAATGAGAATGATAATAGTACTTAATTAATAGAGTTGTTATGAAGGCTAAATAAAATATTGAACGTAAAGCATTTGGTATTATACCTGGCATAAACAACCTACGTTATGTGTATGCTGGAAGCTGCCACCATGAGATGATCATTATCATTATCCTATACACCGGGAGAGGAGACGATGCCCTCGTGTCTTGCCCTTTTTTCAACTATTTAGAAAAGTTACACATAAAAAGTAGACTAGGTTAGTATTTTACATAATTTAAATACTGGATGTAGGTATCTGTTCTAGTATTAAAGTTTTAGGTATGTTAGCAAAAAGAAAGTTTTCCCACTATTTTTATTAATGCCTTTTTTTTTTTCTGGAGGCAGAGTCTTGTTCTGTTGCCCAGGCTGGAGTGCAGTGGCACGATCTTGGCTCGCTGCAACCTCTGCCTCCCAGGTGCATGTGATTCTCCTGCCTCGGCCTCCCAAGTAGCTGGGACTTCAGGGGCCCGCCACCACGCCTGGCTAATTTTTGTATTTTTAGTAGAGACGGGGTTTTGCCATGTTGGCCAGGATGATCTTGAACTCCTGACCGCAGGTGATCCACCCGCCTCAGCATCCCAAAGTGCTGGGATTATAGGCATGAGCCACTGCGCCCTGCCTTATATCTTATGTTTTACAGGTAGTCAAGGATTTAATTATGGCTATATGTTTCCCGAACGGATACTGAATACCTAATCATATTAAAGATTTAAATAGCTATATGAAAACATCTATTTATCATTTGCAGGTCTACCTTTGTTTTGTGTTTTCTCCCTAAGTTGTACCTAGAATGAGTTCATCATTTTAGTGAGACTCTTGAAGTATGAAACAATATACGTCATCGTGCTTGAATCATGTGCTTAGAAGAATGTGCCCCTTGCGCAGCACTGCTTCAGTGCTCTCACTGTCAACACAAAGCTCTTCAGTGACACTTTCATTTTAACAGGAAAGACGGCAGTCTAGTTACTGGCTGGATCCTAATGGGTCTATGTAGCAGTATGCTTATTTGCCAAAAGCCATATGTTTTCCTACAGAGAATTCATCAGCATGCATTAACTCACTGATTCTCAAACCTTTTGCTCTCCAGTCCCCTTCACATTCTTTATTAGTGAGTACCCCCAAAGAGCTTTTGTTTGTGTGAGTCTTACCTACTGTATATACTATATTAAAAATTAAAACAAAAAATTTTGAATATTAATTCCTTTTAAAATAACAAGAAACTACTGAATAACATAAATAGCATATTTTTATGAAAAACAAGTGTATTCCAGAACAAAAAAATTAACAACATGAGTACAGTTGTTTTTTCAAATCTCTAATGACTGTGTTACTAGAAGCCCGCTGAATTTTCATATCTTTTTCTGTAGTCAGTCTGGTGGTATCACACATCGTGTAGCTTCTTGTATACGTTGTGGACACTTGCAGTAGAGTGAGAGTGAAAAAGACAGAAAGTGTCTTATTATTATTATGAAAATAGTTTTGAGTTCACATACCTACTGGGAGTTACCAGACTACACTTGGAGAATTATCAAATCAATCAACACTATTGAATCACTGATGAATTATTCGCTTTTTCATAATACCTGATCTCTGTCCTCAAGGAACTTGTTGTCTAATAGGAAAGGTAGACATGTAAATACATTTTAACATTTTAACAGAATCTAGTGATGAATTCTGCACCTCTACATGTACACACACATACATACACACATCCCTGAGGTGTAGTCAGATACCACTCTGCATAGGAGGCAATCTCCCAGCTGAATTTTAAACAGGGTAGGTGTGTGACAGTCACAGAGGAGAGCAGTCTGGAATAAGGAAGTGGTAGGAAGGCATGTTTAGGAAACTTATTGCTGCCCTATTAAAGTCAGCTTATTTTATTTTCTTTCTATTTCAGTTTATGATTACAGGTGGAAATCTACAAGACAGTAAAGATGCACTGCATTTGGCACAAACAAATGGTATCCTCATATTTCTTTTACCAAAAAAAATATGAATTAAGTAATTTTGAAGAAGTCTTTCTGAAAACTGCTTCAGGTACAATACAATGGATCATGACTGTGGAAACAACAGGAAAATAGACTGATTTCAGTGGGACATGATTAAGATGACAAAATTCAAAGTACTCATTGGTATATCAGCTGTGTATAAAACCGTTTCATAGTACTCAGTGAAGATTATTTTAAGATTTCAGCTAATGAGAATAAAATTCTCCAGGTACACAGTTTAACCTCAGGTGTTTTTGATGTGGAATTCATGTGTGTGTTTTAACGTGTTTAAGATATGAGTTGCTAGCTAGGCGCTGTGGGTCACGCCTGTAATCCCAGTACTTTGGGAGGCTGAGGCAGGCAGATCAGGAGATTGAGACCATCCTGGCTAACACAGTGAAACCCCGTCTCTACTAAAAAATTCGCCGGGCATAGTGGTGGGCGCCTGTAGTCCCAGCTACTCGGCTGAGGTGGGAGAATGGCGTGAACCTGGGAGGCGGAGCTTGCAGTAAGCGGAGATAGTGCCACTGCACTCCAGCCTGGACAATAGAGCAAGACTCTGTCTCAAAACAAGCAAGCAAAAAAACCCCCAAAAAACAAAAAGATATGAGTTGCTTTTTATTTATTCTTTTTTAACTTAAGCTGTGAAGGATTATTTTATTAAATTTTTACTAGATGGACCAGATACTGTGCAAGGTACCAAGAATGCAAATAATAATGCTGTATAACCCCTCATATGCTTGCTTTATGTTCATACATTTTGTATTTATTTAAAATCTTGAAAGTTTTAGGATTGATTATTAAAGGAATCTTAGTTACATAAAACCTCATTTATCTGGCATTCATGAATTTAACTTTTTTTTGCATACCTTATGTGCTAGACACTGAGGAATTAAACATTCTACATAATTTTTAAATGTTGTGTTTTAAAATACTGATGTGTTTATGAAAACTTACTAAAAGCTGTATTTTTATGGAAATCTCTCTAAAATCCATACTTCTCTTTTAGGATCCATTCACACTTTTTCTTTTTTTGAAACAGAGTCTTGCTTTGTCGCCCAGGCTGCAGTGCAATGGCATGATCTCCACTCACTGCAACCTCTGCCTCCTGGGTACAAATGATTCTCTTGCCTCGGCGTCCTGAGTAGCTGGGATTATAGGCGCGCGCCACCACGCCTGGCTAATTTTTGCATCTTTAATAGAGACAGGGTTTCACCATGTTGGTCAGGCTGGTCTTCAACTCCTGACCTCGTGATCTGCCTGGCTTGGCCTCCCAAAGTGCTGGGATTACAGGCCTGAGCCACCTCACCCAGCCCATTGACACTTTTTCTTAGTGATTAAAGAGAGAATCTCTCCCAGGGAGTTTTCGAGATATATAGGAACATTTTATCCTTACTTTTTATCCCCAAACATCTAGGCTTTTTAAAGTTCTCCCACCTCCATTATCAGCCCTCTTCCACTCCTCTCCATGTAACTTGTGTTCTTATAGCCTTAAAAGTGCTTCTTCCTTTATTTCTAAACATCTGCATGAGAGCCTGAGGAAGGCTTGATACCTTTCCCATGGTTCAAACTCAGCTAAGCCATTCAAAAAGTGTTTTTGACTTCTCATTTGTATTCTATACAAGTCAGACTGTCAGAGTGTCCTCCAAATAGGTGAACCTCATTTTTTTATTAGAAAAACAAATTCCCCTTTCCACCTCTTTAAACTCCACTATTAACCTTTTTAAGGGAATACATTTTTATGCTATATTAAATACATGAATCAATAATGGAGGAATTGGTGTTAAACAAAAATATATGAATCAAGATAGTCACATGAATGGTGAATATAAAAGATAAATCATCGCTAGTCATGGTGGCTCAGGCCTGTAATCCCAGCACTTTGGGAGGCCTAGGCCGGTGGGTCGCTTGAGCTCAGGACTTCGAGCCCAGCTTGGGCAACATAGCAAAACCCTGTCTCTACAAAAAAAATTTAAAAATTAGCCAAGTGTGGTGGCATGTATGTGTTGTCCCAGTTACTTGGGAGGCTGAAGTGGGAGGATCACTTGAGTCCAGGAGGTCAAGGCTACAGTGAGCCATGATGGCACCACTGCACTCCAGCCTGGTTGACACAGTGGGACCCTGTCTCAAAAACAAAAAATTTTCACTTTGCATTCTACAGCCCTAAATGCCAAACTTTAGAAAAAGCTGAATTATTTTATTAATACATTAAAGCAATTTTCATATTCGTATCCTACTTTGTTTTGGTATTCTAAAAATTGTCATATGATTAACATAATGCAGTTCTTATAATGTGAATAATCTATTACCATGTTGAAAACCAGTTGAAATTACTTGATATCCTCTAAATATCATAAGTATAAATATGAGAAAATACTTTGAAAATAATCCTAAAACATTATTTTGTGTTAGATATGTTTTTCAGTACAGTTGGATGTCATCCTACAAGATGTGGTGAATTTGAAAAGAATAACCCTGATCTTTACTTAAAGGAGTTGCTAAATCTTGCTGAAAACAATAAAGAGAAAGTTGTGGCAATAGGAGAATGTGGACTTGGTGAGTGCCAGCCTTGCCTCTTAGAATGACTTTGTTTGAAAATAAATAATTTTTTTCTGTATAAGTTAGGAGTAATTATTCTTCTTTATCTTTTTAAAGATTTTGACCGACTACAGTTTTGTCCCAAAGATACTCAACTCAAGTAAGGAAATTTATTGGCTTTACAAATTATTGTAAAATCATGAGTGATTTTAAAATAACTTTTATCAGTTGAGAATATAGTTGGATTAAGCATCAGAATATTTTTGTTTTTCCCTCTGTATATGAAACGTTAAGTGAAACCAATTCCATGCATACTTGCATGTAATTCATAAGGGGCGGAAGCACATAGTTCCCTGGTCGATTAACCATTTAATTTTATTTTAATGGTAGAAATTAGAGATGAGTTTTACATGATAGAGACTTTACATTTTTTGTTTGCTTGTTTAACACATGCATTCCTACATGAACAGTTCCAATGGAATGAATTAAATTATTTTGGGGAATGTGATTTGTTTCGTTTTTTTGAGACAGAGTCTCTCTCTGTTGCCCAGGCTGGAGTGCAGTGGTGTGATCCCGGCTCACTGCAACCTCCACCTCCTGGGTTCAAATGAGTCTCGTGCCTCAGCCTCCCGAGTATCTGGGATTACAGGCACATGCCACCATGCCTGGCTAATTTTTATATTTTTAGTAAAGATTGGGTTTCACCACGTTGGTCAGGCTGTTCTCAGACTCCTGAGCTCAAATGATCCACCCGCCTCAGCCTCCCAAATTGGAAGATATAATTTAAAAACAAAGGATATTAAAAGTGTATTACAAGCTAGGCACAGCAGCCTGCACCTGTAATCGCAGCTGTTTTGAGAAGCAGAGGCAGGAGAATTGCTTGAGCTCAGGAGTTCCAGACCAGTCTGAGCAATGTAAGGAGACTCCACCTCTAAAAAAAAAAATCAGCAACAAAAAACCGACAAAAGTATTATAAGATCAATCACCAAAGATAGAAAAGCATAGTTTACTCTTGCTGGGCATTGAATATTGTTAGTCTGGAACTGTGAGATTCCTTTAATAGAAGCCATGTTGAATGGTGGCTTCTGAGAAAACTCCAAAGCTCACAACCCTGCAGGACTTCCTGTAACCCATTGCCTGGAGCTAAATTTGGAGCTCCTGTCATCATACTGGTGAATGAGTGTTAAAGATTAAAAAGAAAATTTAGGTCATAGTCTGAATTTAAAACGTAAGCATTTTGTCGAATTTCAAAAAGATCTTAATTATGAAGATGATAAAACATTAGACTGAGCTTCTAAAGGGGGTTAATTTAGTTATTCATCCATTCAACAAATATTTATGGAGCACTGTGTGCCAGCCACTGCCAAGAACTCAGAGTATGCAGAAATCTGAAGGTAGAATATCTGTCCCTAGAGACCTTTAAGAATAAACAGTCCTCTGTCCTCCTTAGTTTCTTATACACAGAGAATTAGGATCAGATTCTCTCTTAAGATACCATCCAGCTATATCATAATATTTAATAATTAATAATTTTGTCATATGGTGATACGATCATATGATTAAGCCAGTGACTTGATGGCCTAAAGGGATTTTTTAAGATTACGCATGCCAAAAGTGTACTTCCTCCCCCTTCCCTCCCTGCTCCCCGCAAATGGGATTCTGATATGTCCCCCCTGGTTGAAAATCACTGTGGGGAGGAGCAGATCTACTAGTGGAGTCTGTCATACCCTAGACCTCAAGCTCCAGAGTTCTGGAGTGTGAAGATCTATAACCAAGTAGAAAAGGATGGGTTAGAGTAATGCTCTGTGGACACGTACTGTCTCTTTTTAGGTCGCTCCTTTATACATCCCTTTTAGAACTGCTTAGTTTGTGGCATATTATTTGCTGTGTCTTTCAGGGACATTCATGTGGTTACTAGCAGGGTTACTAAAGCCCTATACCTCTGTCGAATATTATGTAGGCCAGCTCACTTAACCTTAAAAGTTCTCATGTTCACACTGAAATAGAAAAACAGTTGTCTTTAATGGTTCTGCAGGTTAAGCCCACAGATCATATTCCTCAACTTTAATGTCTGGTTTTTGTCAGGATAAGCCTTGTAAGTCTAATAGACTATGTGTTACGACAAGCAAGGGCAATGGCAGAGTCCCCAAGTTTTTTTGCCTGTATGACTTTTCATTCAAAATGAGTTAGAACTGATTCTAAAATGCAACCGGAATACTTTAAACTCAGTTTTGGGGTTAATTGAAAACATTGACAGTATCAGTTTAATTTAACTGTTCTGAAGATTCTTCACCATCATCAGAGCACGTTCAGAATAGCGTCTGATCTTAGAATATGCATATCACAGCTTGTGCTTGAACTCACATACCAGGTGTTGATTGCTAATAGACAAGTTCAAACTCCATTCAGTAAATGATTACCAAGTGCCTCCTCAGCATGACACAAAGGAAAATAAGACTTTTTCCCAATGCCACTGTAGACAAGAGAGGACATAAATAATTAAAGTAGGTTGGAAGTGCTGTCACTAAAGTGTGTGAACAGCAGAGGGAAGGACTGACTTTCAGTGACAGCATGTGACATTGGCTTCTTCCAGAGTGAATAAGCTAATGACAAAATAAGTAGAAGGAAATTTTGATAAGATGGCAGTGAAGATTTTTTAATCTTTAATGATAAAACATCAAATGACTTGGTTAAAAAAATGGCCAGGTATGGTGGCTCATGCCTGTAATTCCAGCACTTTGGCAGGCCAAGGCAGGCCTATCACCTGAGATCAGGAATTCAAGACCAGCTTGGCCAACATGGTGAAACCCTGTCTCTACTAAAAACAAAAATTAGCCGGGCGTGGTAGCGAGCACCTGTAATCCCAGCTACTCGGGAGGCTGAGGCAGCAGAATTGCTTGAACTGGGGAGGTGGAGGTTGCAGTGAGCCAAGATTGTGTCATTGGACTCCAGCCTGGGCAACAGAGCAAGACTCCATCTCAAAAAAAAAAAGACACACTAGTAACAATCACATTTTGATTGTTGTTAAGGACACAAACACCCACGTTCTCTGCCCCTCACTTCTTTTCCCCTAGCGTGTACTTACAGCATGCAATCTTTTCTGTGTACACAGCACTCTGTTTGTTTCAGCACTTAACCACGTTGTACAGAAATAGGTTTTAGGTTATCCCTTCCTCCCCACACAGACAAGTGTCTTTGAGTTCCTCAGAGGCACACACCAAGGCTTACTCATGGGATAGTTCCATAGCATTTAGCACAGTATTCTCAGCACATGGTAGGTACTTAGTAAATGTCTGTTGAATATTTAATACAAAGGGAAGGTTCTTTTTTATTCCTTTTGAGCAGTGTGGATAAAAAGCCTATAATTCAACTTTCACTATTGGGTTTATTTTTGGAAGACTTCAGATTTTGGTCTGCACTTTTCTACCATCTGGAACAACCGGTGTATGGTTTGAGTGTTTTGTTTTGTTTTGTTTTGTTTTGAGATGTATTCTCACTCTGTCCCCCAGACTGGAGTGCAGGCAGTGTGATCTAAGATCACTGCAACCTCCGCCTCCCAGTTCAAGCGATTCTCCTGCCTCCGCCTCCCAAGTAGCTGGGATTACAGGTGCCCATCACCATGCCCAGCTAATTTTCTTGTGTTTTTGTAGAGATGGGGTTTCACCATGTTGGCCAGGCTGGTTTCAAACTCCAGATCTCAAGTGATCTGCCCGCCTCGGCCTCCCAAAGTGCTAGGGTTACAGGTGTGAGCCACCACGCCCAGCCATGATTTGTTTTTAAGTAAAAATGTAGTCAGGAAAAAGGAGATGTATGAGAAAAGAAAAATAGAAAATTAGGAGGCAAGACAGAAAAATCAATATACAATAGATGTGTCTGAAAAATAATGGTAAGTGAAGGCGGCGTATGACGTTAAAAGGATGAGCTTTGGAATCAGCAGATCTTTTCGTGAGATTTACAACTGCCCTTGATGTCACTTCGTCCCTTTGTGCATCCCCTTTAAAATGGGGAGATTGCTGCCTACCTTTCTTAACATAAGGCACATAAAGCCCATAGTGACATGAGTGGTACATAGTACGTGCACAATCATGGCTGTTATATTACTCATGCTAGAAATATTACCACCCTAAAGGAAGATGCTAGCTATTGCTTTTGTTTGGAACTTTTTAAAGGTTTTGTGTTTTTTTTTTTTTTAAATACTTTTTTCTTGTTTTAGTACCTAGACTTTTTCTGGAAAAAGGATTTTTTAAAGACTAAGAAAGAGAAGCAAAGAGTGAAAACAAGGAAGAGGCCTGATGTAGTTATGGAAAGTTTATCCTTTAAGCCATACCCTGTATTTTCAATTTCCTGGCCTTATGCTACATTCCTTTCCTTGTTGCAGTTTAGAGCTCTGTTCTCTTGGATAGGAGGAATTTGCTTTGGGCATTTTTCTTGGGGCTTTAAAATGTTAACGCTGTGCAGGTCTTAAAAACTACAAGAAGAAGATTTTAAAACAATCCTTTGGAGGTTTAGGGGACCGTAGAGATGAGCAATTGAGGCCACGTTGCCATCAAGCAGCTTACAGAGGAGGGATTACTACCTGTGTTGAGATATACCCATGAAACTCACTGCGCTTTTTGGATTTGCCTTGATCCTAATTAATAGCAACTGCTCCTCTGAAGCTGAACTTTTCCAGCTCTTGTCCTTAGATAGTTAAACCTCAACTGTAAGAAGCAGTAATACAATCAGAAGCTTCACTAAGATGAGCAAATCTAACTCAAGTGGAAAATGATTTTCATTTATAAACTTTAAAAAAATAATAAATGAGCAAAACAGGCAGAGAGGTCTCTTAATAGACGCCAATTCCTACCCTGTAACTTACGTTGTTATTTCTAGTTACCATGGTGGGTTTTTCTTCTCTAAAGTTGTTTAGATGTTTCTTCTCTAATAGTTGTTTGATGTTTAGTACTAGTTATCCTCAGTTTGTATCATTCGGAATAATTTTTTACTTTTTTATTTTTTTAAATTTATTATTATTGGCCGGGCGTGGTGGCTCAAGCCTGTAATCCCAGCACTTTGGGAGGCCGAGACGGGCGGATCACGAGGTCAGGAGATCGAGACCATCCTGGCTAACATGGTGAAACCCCGTCTCTACTAAAATATACAAAAAACTAGCCGGGCGCGGTGGCAGGCGCCTGTAGTCCCAGCTACTCGGGAGGCTGAGGCAGGAGAATGGCGTGAACCCGGGAGGCGGAGCTTGCAGTGAGCTGAGATCCGGCCACTGCACTCCAGCCTGGGCAGCAGAGCGAGACTCCGTCTCAAAAAAAAAAAAAAAATTTATTATTATTATTTAATTTGTTATTATTATTCAATTTATTATTATTTAATTTATTATTTAATTTAATTTATTATTTAATTTATTATTATTATTTATTTTTTATTATTATTATTTTTTTAACCACATGGCTTCTTTATGATACATAGCTAGCATGAATTCAGGGACCTTTCTTTTCTTGAATTATGTCAAATTCTGTGGGCCCACTGCTTGGGCTTCTGTTATTTTCTTTTTCTTTTTTTTCTGAGACACGGTCTCACTCTGTCATCCAAGCTGGAGTGCAGTGGTGTGATCATGGCTCACCACAGCCTTGACCTCCCAGGCTCAAGCAATCCCCCGACCTCAGCCTCCCAACAACTGGGACTACAGGCACATGCCACCACACCTGGCTAATTCTTGTATTTTTTGTAGAGATGGGGTTTCACCATGTTGCCCAGGTTAGTCTTGAAGTCCTGAGATCAAGCAATCCGCCCACCTCAGCCTCCCAAAGTGCTGGGATTACAGGCGTGGACCACGCATCCAGCTGGCCTCTGTTATTTTCATAAACTGTATTTTTGCCTACCTTGAGATAGGAAGCTAATTTTCCATCCGACCATTAGATACTGTGAATTTGTAGCTTGGTCATGTGGTTTGGTCCATGAAATTTTGTGTGGAAAAAATAACCAGCATAGTGTAGAGCAGTGCACACAATGAAGAGGACTGCCTGCTGTGTGTAGCCAAAAGCCAAATATATTAGTAAAGTTGACATAATGACTAGAGCACACTTAATTGCTGACATTTGGTTTACTTTAGAGGTTATGGAAATAGTGACTGGTTGTATTATTAAAATATCTTTTTGTCCAAGTTGTCATTAATATTTCCTACACTGCAAATTTTCAGCACTTTGTTAATGAAAGGAAAATAGTTTTGCTTATTCTAACCCAGCAGAATCTGAAAAGGAGATTTTAAAACCCAAACATTTGGTAATACAGAGATAGACCACCAATTTTAGGAAGACTGTTTCTATTTTTTTTTTTTTTTTTTTTTTTTGAGACAGAGTGCTGCTCTGTCACCCAGGCTGGAGTGCAAGTAGTGTGACATCAGCTCACTGCAACCTTTGACCCTGGGTTCAAGCGATTCTTGTGTCTCAGCCCATGGAATAGCTGGGATTACAGACGTGTGCCAACACGCTGGCTAATTTTTGTATTTTTAGTAGAGATAAGGTTTCACCATGTTGGCCAGACTGGTCTTGAACTCCTGTCCTCGAGTGATCCACCCACCTTGGCCTCCCAAAGTGCTGGGATTACAGGTATGAGCCACCATGCCCGGCCTGAAGACTGCTTCTTAAGAAGTACATTTCTATTTCTAATTTTAAAATTTAGCATTTTCAAGAGTGCAAAGGGGGTAAAATAGTCCTGCACGTGAGGAAATATGATATAGGAAAATATAGCAAAAGAGGCTTAAGTTAAACAGAGAAATTGTTTCCCCAAATTAAAGGACTTAGAAGAGGTAAGCACATCTAAGAAAATAATAAGCCACCTGTTATCCTGATTCAGTTGAACCTACCATTTGTGAGAACAAGAGGGAGCACTGTGTTGAAGTGAAAAAACAAACAGAATAAACATTCATTATATCCTCTGAATATTGTCATTATACTCCGGGACCAGAAGGAAGCGTCTCGAAAATGTGACAGGTTTTTGCCGTTTAGGCTGGGACTTGGAATGAGAGCACTGAAGTTCTGGTTCCAAGTGGCCATGCCAGGTATTGTTATGTTGGACAAAGTACGACACCAGCTTTTATCCTTGGGTTATTCTGAGGATCAAATGAGACAAAAGTATGTGGTACTTGGAAAAAGCTTCTTATCAAGTACTCTAAGATATTCAGGGCTACCACTTTATTGTGTAATTTTCTTTTTTTAATAGCATAATTGAGTTATTTGCTGTTTAGCAAATACTTAGATTTGGTTTTTGAGGGAAACCTTGTTCATTTTGCCTAGTGGCAGTAACTTCTTTTATAACAGCACATAAAACACTGGTTGCAAAATGGAATAGATTAGCATGCAGTATGAAGCTCTGCTGGGCTTCTCACTTGGTGAGTTGACTTCCACTGATGGTGCTCCCAGTGGCAAGGGGCCAGTAGATGTTACTTTATGAAAATAATTTTGTAAGCCCAGAAAATGAAGTATTTCTTTCCAAAAATTGTAAGTTATAAAAGCCCTTTGATAAGTCTGATGTGCTTTAAATATTCATGATTATTGTCCTGTAATTTATAGAGAATTAAATACCTTTAACTTAAAAGCTGTTTTGACATCATTACCTTCCTCATGCTAAAATTAAATTTGTAATAAGAATTTTTTTTTGCATTATGCAGATATTTTGAAAAACAATTTGAACTGTCAGAACAAACAAAATTACCAATGTTTCTTCATTGTCGAAACTCACATGCTGAATTTTTGGGTGAGTTAAAACCAAAGTCTCATTTAGAACTTAAGAATTTTGTAGAAATCAAGCTATTTGCTAAAAGTTCTTTGTTTTTAATTTACAGACATAATGAAAAGAAATAGAGATCGCTGTGTAGGGGGAGTGGTAAGTATAAAATTGTCATTTTTAATACAGGTTGAATGTCTCTAATCCAAAAATCCAAATACTCCCAAGTACAAAATACTCCAAAATCTGAAACTTTTTAAGCACTGACATGAGATAGTGACACCTTTGCTTTCTGATTATTCATTGTACATAAATTTAGTTTCATGCACAAAATTATTTAAATTATTTACCTTCAGGGTATGGTATAAGGTGTATATGAAACATAAATGAATTTCATGTTTAGACTTGAGTCCCTTCCCAAAGATTTCTTTTTATGTATATGCAGATATTCCAAAATCTGAAAAAATCTGAAACACTTTTGGTCCCACATACTTGGGATAAGGGATACTTAACATTTATGTGACACATAAAGCATCTTGGTTATTAAGGATGGCCCCTAATTCAGATGTCAACATTTAAATTTTTTTTAAAAAAGGAAAAAAAAAGAAAAACATGTGAATTAGATAGAACTCAATAGAATTAGGAGTTTCTTTTCCCATCCTTTGAAAGACATGTAAATTTACTGTTGAATGTATGGGTCAGATGTGGCATAAACACAAGTCAGTTTTAATTATAGTTCCTTTGTTCAAAGTACAAGAATGAGCACAGAATTCCATTCACAAGAAAACCCTGTGAAATTTGGTTTTTGGTTTTTTTGGGGGTTTTTTTGGTTATTGAGAAAGGGTCTGGCTCTGTCATCCAGGCTGAAGTGGAGTGGCACAATCTCAGCTCACTGCAACCTCCGCTTCCCCAGGATCAAGCCATCCTCAGCCTTCCCAGTAGCTGGGACTACAGGCATGCACCACCATGCTCAGCTAATTTTTTTGTATATTTTGTAGAGATGGAGTTTACCATGTTGCCTAGGCTGATCTTGAACTCCTAAACTCAAGCAATCTGCCCACCTTGGCTTCCCGACATGTTGGGATTACAGGTGTAAGCCACTGTGCCCGGCCCTTGAATTCACTTCTACGCAATCTCGGCTCGTCGCAACCTCCACCTCCCGGGTTCAAGCGATTCCCGTGCCTCAGCCTCCCAAGTAGCTGGGACTACAGGCGTGCACCACCACGCCTGGTTAATTTTTTGCATTTTAGTAGAGACGGGATTTCACCATGTTGGCCAGGATGGTCTCGATCTCCTGACCTTGTGATCTGCCCACCTCGGCCTCCCAAAGTGCTGGGATTACGGTTTATGCTTTTTAAGCAACAGTCTTACCCATTTATAAGAATTTCTTCAGCCCTGTCTCTTTTCTTTTTATTTTTGAGACAGAGTTTCACTCTTGTTGCCCAGACTGGACTGTAATGATGCGATCACAGCTCAACGCAACCTCTGCCTCCTGGGTTCAAGCAGTTCTCCTGCCTCAGGCCTCCCGAGTAGTTGGGATTATAGGCATGCGCCACCACACCTTGCTAATTTTGTATTTTTAGTATAGATGGGTTTTCTCCACATTGGTCAGGCTGGTCTCGAAATCCCAACCTCAGGTGATCCACTGGCCTCAGCCTCCCAAAGTGCTGAGGTTACAGGCATGAGCCATCGCACCTGGCCCAGCCTTGCCTCTTAAAAGTAATTTCTCTTCCAGAAAAAAGTATCCTTGGCCGGGCATGGTGGCTCACCCCTGTAATCCCAGCACTTTGGGAGGCCGAGGCGGGTGGATCACCTGGGGTCGGGAGTTCGAGACCAGCCTGAACAACATGGAGAAACCCCCTCTCTACTAAAAAAAAAATACAAAATACAAAATTAGCCAGGCGTGGTGGCGCATGCCTGTAATCTCAGCTACTCAGGAGGCTGAAGCAGGAGAATCGCTTGAAGCAGGGAGGCGGAGGTTGCGGTGAGCCAAGATCACGCCATTGCACTCCAGCCTGGGCAACAAGAGTGAAACTCCATCTTAAAAAAAAAAAAATTCCTGTAACAGAAAATTCATCAGTATTTTAAAACGTGTTTTAAATGGTGCCATAAAATTTCTAAGCTTTCCTCATGTTTTTGCCTAAGAATACGTCTATTCCTAAACCCCTTCCTGGAGCTTCTGCACTAATGCTAGTGTGGAGACAGCAACACTGCAGCTCTGAAGAGAGAAATTCTCAGCAGCTAACGTTTTGCATCATGTCACTGGAGATGATCACTGGTTATAATTGTGAAATCTGATACGAAAATAAAAATTACAGGGACTACCACCTTTGAAATCCTGAGGTCCAAAAACTTACAGGGATCTATATTTTTGCCTACAAAGTCTTATTAATGTTATTTAGAATTTTAAAGAGTAATTACTATAATAATAAAATTATACCTGTATGTCCCCAGGTGCATTCATTTGATGGTACCAAGGAAGCAGCAGCTGCTTTGATTGATTTGGATCTTTATATAGGATTTAATGGTTGGTACGTTCTTAGGTTGTTTTGTTTTTAACTTTTATTTAAGCAGATTTCTTAAATCGTTTTACAGTGAATTGCTGATGAAGACGATTTTCATTAAAGTTTGTGTGTGTTTACACTGATCTTTGCTGGGAATTTCAGTAATTATGTAAGAAATCAAACAGTACCTTACGATTACAAGTTCAAGCTCAAAAGTTATAGACTAGTACATTATGTCCTAATAATGGAAAACTATTTTGTGTTGAGATCAGCAGCTAGCTTTCTCTAGTAATCCAGTTTATTCTCAGATCATTTGATCCCTTGAAAATGTGTTCACAGCATCATGTATACATATACACATCATGTCTGACTATGGACGAAAGGTTATTCTATGACAGTCGTACATCTCTGCAGGCAAAGAAACCGAGGCTCAAATAAATTAGGAAACAGGTATAGAGTTTCTCCAAGTATGAGAACCCATGTCCTCTGGCTTCTCACTCTGTGACCTTTCTGCTGTTATATCACACTAAACTTCACACACTCAGTACACTCAGCTAGCACAGCTAGGTCCCTGGGTTTGTTTGGTCAAATATGTAAGAACTTCGACCAGTGTCTTTTCACAGGATATCAATGTATCCCATTAATCAGTTGCAAAATAGTATAAGACTTTCTGTCCTTCAATGTCTCATACCCTTAAAGTTATTGTGTTTCCAATTGCATTATTTTTGACTAAAATCTAGGGAAATAGAATCATGGAATTACGTATTTGCTCTAGAGTTCAGAGTTTAAATGTCTAAGCTGCTTTCATATTTAATGGTTTAAATAACTTTAAAATTAATATGCAAGGGAATATATGCATAGTGATTAAAAAGTCAAGTAGTACTCACAGATATAAACAAATATCAGAGTCCCCCCAGCATGACCTTACCCCAGGTCAGTTTTTCTAGCGGCAACAATTTTGCTATTTGTCACCATATTTCTAAATAATATCCATATACTATTGTCTCTTGATTCATCCCCTGTGTCTATTCTCATTGGGGTATATGAGCACGTTAGTTCTTATATCCCGTACTAATCCCCTACCTCCATTATTCTCTGCATATCACTCTCAATGTCGTCATTTCAGAATTTTTGGTTATACGCATACTCAATGTTTTCATTATTATGTCTCTATAAATGTTTCATTATTATTTCTATATAAGTATATAATTTCACAGAGCTATGCCAAGTATGAGAGGGTTTCAAGTTTTTTGGTTTTTTTGGTTTTTTTTTTTAAGATAGGGACTTGCTCTGTAGCCCAAGCTGGAATGCAGTGGTGTAATCACAACTCTGCAGCCTTGACCTCGCGGGCTCAAGCAACCCTCCCACCTCAGCCTCCTGAGTAGCTGGGATTACTGGTGCGTGCCACCACACCCGGCTATTTTTTACATTTTAAGTTAAGACGGGATCTTGCTATGTGCCCAGGCTGGGCTTCAAGTTTAAGAAAGCCAGGTAAATAAAAATATGAGGGAGGTTAATCCGGGAAAACAAAAAGTAGTACAAGAAATGTTAAGCACGGTATACCACATGAGCAAACCTGTCTAGATATAATAGTTCCATCAGTTGCAGACCCTTCCATCTGTCTGTTTCAGTTTGGGCTAGTTCCTATTTTTAGATCCCATGTATTCCTTGTGTGTTTGTTTTAGTGGAACACATTCTACAACATCCTCTGAGGACTTTTTCCTAGGAATTAAGTTTCTTGAGATTTTGCATGTTTGAAAATGAATTTTTTTTTTTGTTCTTCCTCTTACAAGTTAGCCTGGATAGTTAATGAAAGGGGAGAGAACCCCACTTTCAATTGATAGTTTCTCCGTGCATAAAATTCAAGATCAGAAATCATTTTCATTGAGAATTTATACTGTTCCATCAGTAGGTTCTAGTGTTGATGAAAAGTTGCTACTCTGATTCCTAATCCTTTACCTGTGACCTAGTTTTCTTCTCTTGTGAAAGGTTTTAGTTTTTCATCTCTGATGTGAAATTTCACGGAGGTGTGTGTTGATGGTTTTCATCATGCCTAGTGTTGCTTTTTCATTACCCCTTCCAGTGGGGGTCTCATCTTTACCCATCCTTGGAATTTGATTTTTCTTTTCTATTTTTTTCTTGGGCATACCAGACTGATAACTTCCATTGTTTCCCTCCTTCCAAAAAAAGTGCTATATTTTGTAACCCTTTTTATGAAATTTACTTCAGCGTTTTTCAATTTCTGAACACTATTCTTATACTACAGTGTCTTCTCATCTCTCGAAAGGCATGAACTATAAAGTGACTTTCTGCTTGTCTTCCTGCATTTGTTTCCTCACAGTCACCTCTTCTTCTTTCCTTTGGTCTCTGTGATGATGGAAACTTTCTTCAAATGTCAGGCAGTCCTCACTGTCTATTTTTTAAAAAATGCCATTTGGAAGCTCTCTAGAAGGCATTCCAGCAACTGGCAGACTCAGATGGCCACTGACTTTTTGCTAGGGATTCCCAAATATCAGTTTGTAGAGATCTTTTTCTGGGTTGGTTCAGTTTCTCCAGAAAGGGATCTTGTGTTCTCTGCTGGAAAAGTGGGGAACAGTGGAGGGAAGGGGTTTATAAATGTCCCTGACAGTGTTTTGGAGCAGGATGGGTTAGAGGGTCTCCCTGTTCAGTGGGCTGCCCCGGTCTCCATGCTTAGGCCTGTGCCTGATGCCTGTACTTCTCTGTGCTTGTTGTTCTCCACCTGTTTCTGATGTAGGTTCTCTTGAGACCCAGCACCTCTTTCTCTGCACCAAGTCACAGATATGTAACCTAGGAATCCCATCTATCTTCTCTTGAAGTTTTCTCAAACAATCTCCATTTCAGTCCCTGCCTTACTCCACTTTCTAGGGACTATATCTGCTTCTGGGTTTGCTTGTCTTTCTCTCCAGGCACATAGCATTTAAGTCACTTGGCACTTAAACACTGGTCGTTTATCATTTCTCTGTCCACTTTCAACTTTATATGTTGTGATTTGGGGTAACATATGTCTCCTAGTTTCATTTTTAAAAATCCTGCTTTTCTCCTTGTAAGTTTTTTTTAAGAGAAGGGGGTAGAAGATCTTTATTTCACCAACTTAAAACCATTAATTCTTAGATTTTTTTTTTTTTTTTTTTTGAGACCAGGGTCTCACTCTGTCTCACAAGCTGGACGACTTACTGCAGCCCCGACCTCCTGGGCTCAAGCAATCCTCCCAAGTATAATAGCTGAGACCACAAGCTCCTATCACCATGGTTGGCTAACGTCTGTACTTTTTGTTGAGATGGGGTTTCACTATGTTGCCCAGGCTGGTCTCAAACTCCTGAGCTCAGGCTGTCCACCTGCCTCTGCCTCCCAAAGTGCTTGGATTACAGGCATGAGGCACCATACCTGGCTCCTGTCTTAGATATTTCTAAATGATCTTGAGTTTATTATGATGTTGCTTTAAGCTAATCACAAAAGATTCTTTTCTCCTACATTAATATTAGCTTCAGAATTAATAGGTTAGTCATTTATTAAAGTGAATGTTTATATTCTTATTTTGAAATCTATTCATTGTCATCTTAATCTGAGTCTCTGAGATGTGATAATCCACTTGTAACTTAATATAACTTAATATGATAACTTATCATAATATAACTTAATCCACATATCACATAAAGTCTTTGGTTCCTAAAAGTTAAATTAGAATTTTTCCCCCAAGAAAATGGGAAGATGGCCGGGCACCGTGGCTCACACCTGTAATCCCAGCACTTTGGGAGGCTGAGGTGCGTGGTTCACAAGGTCAGGAGTTCAAGACCAGCCTGGCCAATGTGGTAAAACCCCATCTCTACTAAAAATACAAAAATTAGCTGGGGTGGTGGCAGGCACCTGTAGTCCCAGCTAGTCGGGAGGCTGAGGCAGGAGAATCGCTTGAACTCAGGAGGTGGAGGTTTCAGTGAGCCGAGATCACGCCACTGCACTCCAGCCTGGGCGACAGAGCGAGACTCTGTCTCAAAAAAAAAAAGAAAATGGGAAGATGTATTTCAGACTTGACTTCAGAATCATGTAGTTGCTCATCATTAAATGGGAAACCTTATTAAACAGAAATACTGGCTTCTCTTTAAAATATTTATTAGTATATATATTTGGGCAAATTTTTATAGTCAAAGGATAGACGTAGAAGAATATTAAGCTAATCAGACATGATTTAGTGAGATCAAAAATACAAATAATCTAAAAATTTAGTGAAAGTTTTAAATAGGCCGGGTGCAGTGGCTCACACCTGTAATCCCAGCACTTTGGGAGGCCGAGGCGGGCGGATCATGAGGTCAGGAGATTGAGACCATCCTGGCTAACACAGTGAAACCCCCTCTGTACTAAATATACAAAAAATTAGCCGGGCAAGGTGGCGGGCGCCTGTAACCCCTGCTACTCGGGGGGCTGAGGCAGGAGAATAGCGTGAACCCTGGAGGCAGAGCTCGCAGTGAGCCGAGATCACACCACTACACTCCAACCTGGGCGACAGAGCGAGACTCTGTCTTAAAAAAAAAAAAAAAGGAAAAAGAAAAAAAACTTTTAAATATACTATCCATACCAACCACATCAATATATTTTACAAAATATCTATATTGACCAAGCTGGCTGAAAATAATAATTTTTTTTTCTAGAGAGCACCAATTGCTACTTAATGTCAAACTAATGACATCCCACCCACCCCTCCTAAAATCCTACTAAAATAAAATTATAGATATTGAAAAAGGAAAGAATCTATAATAGCAAAGAAAAAAGGCCAGTTTTTTGCTGATAAATGTTCTGTAGCTGGGTAAGCCCAGGAGTTCAAGTGATGCTCCTGCCACAGCATCCTCAGTAGCTAGAGCTACAGGTATAACCAGTCTGGGTAACTTAACGAGACCCCCATCTCTTAAATTTAAAAAAAAAAAAAAAAAAAAGAAGAGGCCAGGCACAGTGGCTCACGCCTGTAATCCCAGCACTTCAGGAGGCCGAGGCAGGCAGATGACAATGTCAGGAGTTTGAGACCAGTCTGGCCAACATAGTGAAACCCTGTCTCTACTAAAAATACAAAAAATTAGCCAGGTGTGGTAGTGGGCACCTGTAATCCCAGCTACTTGGGAGGCTGAGGCAGGAGAATTGTGTGAACCCAGGAGGCAGAGGTTGCAGTGAATCGAGATTGCGCCATTGCACTCCAGCCCAGGTGACAGTGAGACACTCCGTCTGTTCTGTGGATTTCTGAAGACGGGTAAAACTGAAAGAGAAAGCTTAGATTACACCACTAAGGGGCCTCAGAGAGAGGGGAGCAAGTCTGGCAAACAAAATCCAGTAGGGGGGGCTTTCAGCTTAGAATTAGTGTGAACTAGGACTAGAAAGGATGATCAATTGAGGGCCTATAGAGAGAAAAGATCTCACTCCCATATCCACTCCTGTGCATAGAGGACAAAAGCAGTAAACATTTACACAGGGGCCAGGGGTAGGGGTTTTCTTAAGAAAATTGAAAAAACTATGGTGAGGACTAAGGCTTGAAGTGCTTATTATCAGTCCACAAAGGAAAGCATTTAGAGAACCATGAGCCTAACAATTAGCTCCCTATACTCTTACCTTTAAATGTAGTTTCATAATATACCCTCTCCCACAAGAAGGTCTCACTAAGAATCCCCACTCAGAGAAGAGAACTGGTAGTAAAACAGTCCTGCTTTCACAAAAGCAAAGGAAACGCAACACTAGCAACCTCCCTAAATATAAATGGATATCCAAGGACCACCAGACAAATGCGGTGAACCAGAAGCATGAAAGAAAAGGACCAAGATAAATAGAAAACCTAACCCCAGTGAGACCCAACATAGTGGGATTTGAGATATTACGCACATGAAATATGAACAGAATGCTAAAAGAACATAAAAGAATAAGAGCTCCTTATATAAATGAATGGTGATGTTAAAATAATAGCACCAATGGAAGAAGTTAGGGAATCAACACATTTGACAGAAAGATACATATTTTCTGTACAAACTACATATATTTGAGCAATCAAGTAATAGACATAGAGAATTTTCGTTTTATGGAAGTACTCTAATAAGTAAAGGGCTGATAGAATTATATCAACATTTAGTAGCTCCTGGTGAATTATGCATTGGGCATCCATGGCTGCCTTAGATCACAAAAATAGAACCAGATATATGCCTGTAGATGAAAGATCACACCACCACCTATGAAATGGTCTTCCCCCAAAAACATCCAACCCCAATCTTATCCAGCCTGTAGATGGTACTCTAGATCTACTATAAGAAATACAGAGGGCAGGCTAGGTGCGGTGGCTCATGCCTGTAATCCCACCACTTTGGGAGGCCGAGGTGGGTGGATCACCTGAGGTCAGGAGTTTGAGACCAGCCTGGCCAACATGGTGAAACCCCCTCTCTACTAAAAATACAAAAATGAGCCGGGCGTGGTGGCAGGCACCTGTAGTCCCAGCTACTCGGGAGGCTGAGGCAGGAGAATCGCTTGAACCCGGGAGGTGGATGTTGCAGCGAGCTGGGATTTTGCCAACACACTCCAGCCTGGGCAACAGAGTGAGATTCCATCTCAAAAGAAAAAAATACAGAGGGCAGAGGAGCCTGTTAAACTGGAACACAGATAAAATCAGCAAAATCAAGACTAGGGCACTGCACAGGGTGAACAGCTTGGTTTCTTCAACAATAAATGTGAAGGGGGAAAAGACGCAGGAGATTTTAATAGGTTGAGACTTTAGAAGACAATGACCAATTGCAATGTGTAGGCCTCTCATTTGTGTCCTAATTTAATCAAACTTAAAAAGAATGTATGCCTCTGAGACGACTGGAAATTTGAATACTAGAAGATTTGGGTTTTTCTTAAATATGATAATTGTATTGTGGTTGCATTTCTTAAAGAGAATCCTTATGCTCAGAGATACATGCTGAAACATCCTGAATTAAATGCTGAAATATTAGAACTGTACATTTCGAATTTCCTTTTAAAATAATACAGGAGAGAGCAGGGGTAAGTGGATGGAACAGGATTGTCCTGTGTTGATGATTGATGGGGCTGGGTGATAACTATATGAGAAGTCCATATTACCTAATTTAATGTATATCTTAAATGCTTTGTAATAACAAATGCTGAAATTAAAAATGCTACATAAGGAAGCAACCAAGATGTTCCTCAGTAGGTGAATGGATAAACTGTGGTATATCCAGTGGAATATTATTCAATGCCAAAAGAAATGAACTATCAGGCATGAAAAACATGGGATTTTAATATGTATTTTCAAGTGAAAGAAGGCACCCTGAAAAAGACTACATACTGTATAGTTCAAACTGTGTGACAGTCTGGAAAAGGCAAAACTATGGAGACAGTTCAAAAATAAGGGGTTAGAGGGAAGGAGGGATGAATAGGCAGACCACAGATTTTTAAGACCATGAAACTACTCAGTATGATACAATGGTAGACGTAATTCCATATTTGTCCAAACCCACAGAACACATGACACCAAGTGAACCCTAATGTAAACTGTAAACTGTGGGTTTTGGGTGACAATTTTGTGTCAAGGTAGGTTCATCAATGACAAACGTACCTACCATTATGGTGTGGAATTTTGAGAGTGGGGGCATATGGTTGGGGAATCTCTATACTTTTTATTGCTGTAAACCTAAAACTGCCCTAAAAAATTAATTTGTGGTTACAAAAATTGTGTTTTTAAAGTAATACAAGAGCAGTATTCGTTGCCATCACATTATATGCTACACCATCCCAAACCTCACTGCCACATTACAGGAAGCATTTATGTTTGCATTCATGGATCTTTGAGTCAGCTGGGTTTTGGCTGATAGAGGCTCAGGCAGCCATAGCAAGACTTGAGGCCAAAGCCAGATTCAAGGAGTAGAGTTCATCCTACAAAGAAACCATGGCAAGGGTGCAGATACATAATTCTGCTCAAGTAGAGTGAAGAATCTGTCTTGGGCTAAAAATGGAAAATTCAGGAAATGAACGTTAACAGCCTTAGGAGCATCTCTAAGTTATGCAAATTACTCAGAAGCAAATGAATTCTTTTTTTAAAAAGTTAAATTTTACTTAGACTGATACGGAATGCTGTTGGAAACCAACTAATAAGCATGGAAAATTGCATCCCCGGAAGGCAGATAGGGTTAAAATAGATCTTAATCTGGATTGTTGAAGTATGGTAGTGTGCAAATACTTTCTAAAGTATACTGAAAACAAAATGCTATGGGGTTTTGGATTGGTCTTGTAGTACTTTAGACAAGTTGTGATATGAAAAAAGGTATTCGTTAATTGCTGCCTTTTAAAATAAATATATGTATACACTTCTTTTTTTAAGTTCACTGAAAACTGAAGCTAATTTGGAAGTTTTGAAGTCAATTCCTAGTGAAAAATTAATGATTGAGACAGGTAAGTTTGTTTTCAGAACTTTGTTTCATATTAAACCATACCAAACAAAAAAGAAAAAGAAATTTGACTTCAAACTTTAAGTGGACAAGTATTTTAAAACAGCATGCTCAACCTCAACAATTGTGCTTTCCAGAAGATCTTTGGGGGTTATTAATGGAAAAATATATGCAAATGATTTTTTTTCAATTTTAGAAGTTTGCTATGTCTAAGCACTTAGAAAATGAGATGTTAGACTATAACTCAGGAGGGCCGGGTGTGGTGGCTCACGCCTGTAATCCCAGCACTTTGGGAGGCCAAGGTGGGTGGATCACAAGGTCAGGAGATCGAGACCATCCTGGCTAACATGGAGAAACCCCCTGTCTCTAATAAAAATACAAAAAATTAGCCGGGCATGGTGGCAGACACCTGTAGTCCCAGCTACTCGGTGAGCCGAGATTGTGCCACTGCACTCCAGCCTGGGTGACAGAGTGAGACTCCATATCAAAAAAAAAAAAAAAAATATATATATATATATATATACACACACACACATATATATGTATACGTAACTCAGGAGGTTGTAGTTACAAGTACATCAACAAGGGGCCTTGACTAAGCACATCACACTTCCAAGTTTCAAAATCTGTTCAGAATTTTGTTTACACAGTGTCTTTATAATGGCTTAATTCTACAGCACTTTTTACAGTGCGACAATTTATACTGGTTTAGTATAAGGATTTTAGAATATGTTGCCTCTTAAAACAAGGTGAGGCCAGGCGCGGTGGCTCACGCCTGTATTCCTAGCACTTTGGGAGGCCGAGGTGGGCGGATCACCTGAGGTCAGAAGTTCAAGACCAGCCTGACCAACATGGAGAAACCACATCTCTACTAAAAATACAAAATTATCCGGGCATGGTGGCACATGCCTGTAATCCCAGCTACTTAGGAGGCTGAGGCAGGAGAATTGCTTGAAACCGGAAGGCGGAGGTTGCAGTGAGCTGAGATCACGCCATTGCACTCCAACCTGGGCAACAACGGCGAAACTCCATCTCAAAAAAAAAAAATTACAAAAAATACAAAAAATTAGCTGGGCGTGGTGGCACATGCCTGTAGTCCCAGCTACTCAGAAGGCTGAGGCACAAGAACCGTTTGAACCTGGGAGACAGAGGTTGCAATGAGCCGAGATTGCGCCACTGCACTCCACCCTTCGAGACAGTGAGACTCCATCTCAAAAAAATAATAAATAAGGTAAAAAGCTAAAACTTCTATCTAAACCCTGTCAAGGCTGTCCTTATACCATGGACTTTAGGAAAATCAAGACTGAGCCTTTCTGGAGAAATCACGTTCATTTCCTTGGGCAGTCAGGAAAATAAAATGATTTGATTAAAAGTACGATGCTTGTAAAATGTGTAAACTATTGTAATTCTTTATTTAAAAATATTCAAAACCAGTTTCACATTCAGTAAAGATGGAAATTTGTTTAACTTATGCAAACCTCACTACATGCATAGCGAAAAAGATTTTGAAAACAGAAAAAAAATCTGTTTAAATGTTTTCATGTTGTTACACAATTATATTTAAGGTTTAGGTCTTTTTTTAAAAGCATGCTGCACACCAACAATGGTAGCAGAAAAAAGGAATAAAAGTGAGTTTTAGAAGGTATTTAAGATGCAATTCAAGATTTTGTGCTTTTCTTAGAACTGTTTTCTGTTGCAATAATTGTGCCATTTTGGAAGCTGAATCATGGTTTATCATTTACAGGTTATGTATTAGTTCGATAATGGTCATAAAAATTTCTTTTAATGTAAAGCCCTTAAGAGACACTTTCTTTGCTTAACTAGATGCACCTTGGTGTGGAGTCAAAAGTACACATGCTGGATCAAAATATATAAAAACTGCATTTCCTACCAAAAAGAAGTGGGAAAGTGGGCACTGCTTAAAAGACAGAAATGAACCCTGCCATATAATGTGAGTATTTTGCTTTCACGGTCTTCAAAATCATTAGTCAACCACCAGATGCCACTTACAAAATGAACGCAAGGGACAGAATTAAAATTTTGCAAAATCCAAGTGAAGTTCAGGTTCAAGGCCACCATATTAATGCGGTGATTTGGAGGAATTTGTATACCTAGTTTAAGTCCCATTCTCACTGCAACTTCCTGCTACTCTTTGGTAACAAGAAAGCCTTAGCAGAATATTTTGGATTTAAATGATTTGACAGCCGCTATAAATCTAAGAAATAACACATTTCTTTAAGCCTCAGAACAAAAGGATAAGTGATCTTAAGGACAAACCCCTTTTTCCAAATCAAAGGGGGTAGACGCCCTTTTTCCAATCAAAGGGGGTGGGACTTTAGCACATTTCCTAAAAAAGCAGCAGATCAGAATCATCTTTTAAATTGTGATGTATAGCACAGGTGAAAAGAGGGACTATTATCCATCTGTCAAAGAGCTGTAAAGGTAACCAACAGGAAAAGGTGGTTATATCATTTTAATGGGTACTTAATCCAATTTATTTTGTTTGCACAGATAATTTAATCTAGATTATATCAGTCTTACATAATTTATCAGTTCAGACAATTGGGCATACTTATAACACATTCACAAAAACTAATTGGTACTGTGTCTTCATGAGGGGTAAAAAAGAAAACAAAATAGATTGTTGCTTTTAAGACTATTCATTGCATATGCACCATCTTTTGTTTTCAGTAGTTTTTAACAGGAAAATAGTATTAGAAGATAAGCCAGATCTAATATCCAGCAGGCAGAACAGTGAAGAATTACTCTATAAAAATACGTTTGAAAGGTTCTTTTCCTTTATTAACATGCTTCAGCTGACAAAGTCTTGAAAACTGAAACAGCCAGGCAGGGTGGCCTACGCCTGTATCCCAGCTACTTGGGAAGACTGCTTGAGCTCAGGAGTTCAATATCAGCTCAGGCAACATAGGGAGACCCCTGTCTCTAAAGAAGTAACAAAAATTTTAAAAAATAAAGAAATGTAAGTACTTGCAAATTCAGTGATGAAACAGTATTTCTAAATACTGTTTTGGGGGACCATCTCACTCTGTTGCCCAGGCTGGAGTGCAGTGGAGTGATCTTGGCTCACTGCAACCTCCGCCTCCCAGGTTCAAGCAATTCTCCTGCCTCAACCTCCCAAGTAGCTGGAACTATAGGCACGTGCCACAACACCCAGTTAATTTTTGTATTTTTAGTAGAGACGGGGTTTTGCCATGTTGGCCAGGCTGGTCTCAAACTCCTGACCTCAGCCTCTCAAAGTGCTAGGATTATAGGCATGAGCCACCACACCCAGCCAATTTTTGGGGGATCTAAGAGGACACTAGAGAAAAGAAACTGTTATTTTGCCAGCAGCCAGCTTACAGGAAGTAGTTGCCAACAGTGTATCCAAGTCAGTTTTTTATATTTCTTTAATCTTGTATAAGATTATAGCTGTTGACTTTAGCTATACATTTGCAAGACAAAATTTCAAGGTGTTTTTAAATGTAGACTGTTGAAGAACTATGAAGGCTGGCCGGGCATGGTGGCTTACATCTGTAATCCCAGCACTTTGGGAGGCTGAGGCAGGCAGATCACCTGAGGAGCTTGAGACCAGCCTGGCCAAGATGGTGAAATCCCATCTCTACTAAAAATACAAAATTAGCCAGGCCTGGTGGCAGATGCCTGTAATGCCAGCTACTCGGGAGGCTGAGGAAGGAGAATCACTTGAACCCAGGAGGCGGAGGTTGCAGTAAGCAGAGACCGCGCCATTGCACTCCAGCCTGGGTGACGAGAGCGAAACTCCGTCTCAAAAAAAAAAAAAAACTGTGAAGGCTTCATGAATACCTGCTCTTCAGTTAGCTGCAGAGCTTAGGAAAATTTAGCATCTGCAAGCTGAAAAGATTTAAACCACATTTCAAAAATACACAATCATCTGATCTACTGCTAATTATGAGTTGGCAAGTTAATTCCTACTTGCAAAGTCATTTTATCAACCTCCATTCTGTTAACAATTTTACATTCTAATTATGCTTATAGAAGTCTTTTAGATATAAGTTGTTTGCAACAGATATTTTGGAGCCCCTGCCATATGTCAGGAAAGGTACAAGTTACTAAGGCTACACAGAAGAACCAAGACCTGTCTTTATCCATCCACCTGTGCCTGGCACTTTAGATAAGGCATTCAGTGAGTCAGGCGAGGACCCCTGCCCTCCTGGAGCAAATAAGCAGACAGAGTCCAAGATAGTAGTGCTGTTATACAAATAGGAATATATGACCAAGACCATAGGGCACATCAACTGTCTGCTTTGAGGGGAAACAGGAGAGAGCTACACCAAGGTGACATTTCAGTTGTTTACTAGGCGTGACTGGGAGTTAGGTCAGAGAAAGACAAACACCTGGAGCAAAGGCAGACTGCAGAAGGGCCTGGCTAATCCAGAGGAACAAGTGTGGCAGAAAGTGGGATGCACAGGGTAAGTGGAAGAAGTCAAGTCTGGGAAGGTAGAGCGAGCCCAGATTGTGAGGCCTCTTATATGCCAGCATTTTGCTTAGATTTTATCACTACCCAAAGGATTTTAAGCAGGACAGTAGCAATTTTTTTTTTAAGCTATAACTGGTATCAGTATGGGGAGGGGCTGGAAAGGAAATAGTGGCAGGAATCATACAGATCTTGTAAGACTTTAAAAACCTTTGCCTGGCTGGGCGCAGTGGCTCACACCTGTAATCCTACCACTTTGGGAGGCGAGGCAGGCAGATCACTTGAGGTCAGGAGTTCAAAACCAGCCTGGCCAATGTGGAGAAGCCCTGTCTCTACTAAAAATACAAAAAAATAGCCGGGCATGGTGGTGGGCGCCTGTTATCACAGCTACTCGGGAGGCTGAGGCAGGAGAATCACTTGAACCTGAGAGGCAGGGGTTATAGTGAGCCAAGATCACACCACTGCACTCCAGCTTGGGCCACAGTGTGAGACTCTGTCTCAAAAAAAAAAAAAAAAAAAAAAAGCAAAACCTGTGCCTACTGTAAAAGTGCCACACTAAACAAAAGCCACTAAATTCTCAGGGATATTAAACAACTTTATATTCATTTTGGAGTAACTGCAGCTTTGACCACTGAAGATGTATGGAAACGGCATGGCTTGGCTACAGAAGGGTTATTCAAAGATTTCCATAAACTGCATTATCAAATAGTAAAATAGGATGTCCTAAGCTCCAATAGATTTCCTTTTTTTGGTGGGGGGGACAGTCTCTCGCTGTTGCCCAGGCTGGAGTGCAGTGGCACAATCTCAGCTCACTGCAACCTCCACCTCCCAGGTTCAAGCAATTCTCCTGCCTCAGCCTCCCGAGTAGGTGGGACTATAGGCCTCCACCACCACGCCTGGCTAATTTTTTGTGTTTTAGTAGAAGTAGGGTTTCACTGTGTTGCCCAGGCTGATCTCAAACTCTTGAGCTCAATCTGCCCGCCTTGGCCTCCCAAAGTGCTGTGATTACAGCCATGAGCCACCACACCCGGCCCAATAGATTTCTTATAAATTAATTTCAATAAAATTGCTATGCAATATAATCTTAGCAAAGCTGCTGTGACCTTCAAAACTGTGTCATCAGCAGCACTAATCAAGAGTTCCAATTCTGAGTGCATACAGAGGGACATTTGGTAGTTTCCGAAGAAACATGGATTTTCACTGTCTTAATTTAAATGTTAATAGATTTGCTTTCAGCATATCTTGACTGTCAGATAAAAATTCAGCATAATGTTTGCTTTGTATAAACATCAAGCAAGGCTTTTGAAAGTCACTATTACAAAACAATTTTTTAAATTCCTATTAATCTTAGATCTCCATCCTTAATTCCTTTAGGTGTTAACATTTAAGATACCCACTAAGGGAACAAAAAGCTTGGGCAAAGAATATTTAAATGTTCAATTTTGACTTTGGAACTTTCCAGTTCAGTATTTAAAATGTTATATATAATATTGCTAGGAGACACTATGGATCGTTATTATTGTAAGCACAGAAACGGAAAAGATGCGGCCAGGCGCCCTGGCTCACACCTGTAATCCCAGCACTTTGGGAGGCCCAGGCGGGTGGATCACGAGGTCAGTTCAAGACCAGCCCAGCCAACATGGTGAATGAAACCCTATCTCTACTAAAAATACAGAAATTAGCTGGGTTTGATCACAGGCGCCTGTAATCCCATCTACTCAGGAGGCTGAGGCAGGAGAATCACTTTAACCCGGGCGGCAGAGGTTGCAGTGAGCTGAGATCGCGCCACTGCACTCCAGCCTGAGTGACAGAGTAAGACTCCATCTCAAAAAAGAAAAAGAAAAAGGAAGAAAAGGAAGGAAGGGGGAGGGAAGGGAAGGGAAGGGAAGAAAGAGAGAGAAATAAAAAAAAGAGAAAGAAAGAAACTGAAGGATGGACACCTGTACTTCTCTCTCTTGCAGGGGTAGAAGCACAGAAAGCCCTCCCCCTCAATAACCACACATTTTTCCAAGTAAATATTACTTTTGCAGCAACCTAATACCTTCATTTGCTGTCTCTCAAGGACTAGTTCTGTAGCAGTGGCTTTCCAACTGTGGCCGCTGTCCCCCAGTACAAATTACATTGTGACTTAGGATGAACATACATAATAAAATGAAACAAAAAATGGAACAGTACTTACCCTTACTAAGTACAGTGTACTTGTCAATGTTTGAAATGCTCATCATGACCCACTAATGAACATGCTATGACTCACAATTGAAAAGGACTCTTCATTTCCACTCAGTTAATGCCAGAAGTGGTGTACATAATACAGATGTCTGCTTTAATAATTTACTTGAACCTGGTTCTTAGCTCTAGTTATATGCAAGACAGTCCATAAATCTGTTTGTAGTTACTGGCAGTAAGTTTTTCTGTTGATGCTGCTGAAAAACTTAATAACTGTTAAGCTTTATTCTATTAAAGGTGCTCTAATATTTTCCCTTTGTGTGGAAAATTATTATATAGCTTTAAAACAGAATATATACTTGGAGATTTAACCATTTTTGTTTTTGTTTTGTTTTAGTCAAATATTGGAGATAATGTCAGCAGTGAGAGATGAGGATCCACTGGAATTAGCCAATACCCTATATAACAATACTATTAAAGTATTTTTTCCTGGAATATAATTGGTATATGTCTTCCACTTTCCATCATGTATGTAAAATTTCACAGTAAAACTTACTGATAGTTTCAATAAAGAAATTATCTGCAAGTTGTCTAAAGAAATACTATATATTGGTACACAGCATTCTCCACCATTCCCCTTCTTTTTCTCATAAAATCAGATCAGGATGTTTTTATATCATTGAGTACCTTAGTTTAAAACAATAATAATAACAATAAACTATTTTTGTTCTGTAATATCTCCAAAAGAATGAAAGGACAATTTTATGACAATACTGCAGACACAGAATGGCTAACAAATATACCAATTTTACATAAAAAACATTTAGCACATTCTGGTTTATATCAAAGTTTAGTTGATACAGTTTATTTCCCAACCCTCGGTCTCTGAATCATGACTTTCAAACTCAGCTCAATTACACTGCTACTCAAGTTTCAAAAAAGTTCCTCAGTTGCTTCTGGCAGGCTAATTTTTTCTTTAGTTTTAAAATACTCTCTCATGTCCCTTATCCTCTGGTCAAATTATTTTATTTCCTTAACTTTAATGTGGTTTCCTGATTTGCATTTTCATTCTCCCACCCATTCTGAAGAAAAACTGAGGTCCAAAGTTAGATACGTTATATGATTTCATTGAAGAATCTTTGGCACAGTTGACGCACCATATGATCATTACAGCTATTAAAAAGCTATTTGTTCAAATTTTGTCATAAAAATGTGAAAACATTTTATTCTATGTACAATAATGTACACAAATTTAAACAGGTCACCAAAGAGACCAGAAGTAATTAAAGAGGTATATTTACAGTAGCACATCACAGTAAACGGAAAACCATTCACAGATTCAACATTGATACTGTTTTTGTGCTTGGTTACACACTGAAGGTGAAGGATATCACTCCATTTTGGATGAACTGAATTTTAAACAAATACCTCAATGATTAATAAATGCTATTTTCATCAGTCAGTATCATCATTAAATTCTTCAGCTGCTGCGCCTGTGTGCTGAATCACTCCATTTCTTTCTCTTTGAACATCATCATCACAATCTGTACTGTCATCTTCGTTCAATTCTCTGTCAGATTCAGCAGCAGCTTCTCTTACAGCTTCCTCTGGATTTTCATTGGGTGGAATAAATCCATTGTTGTTAGATACATTTGAATTATCCTTGATATCATCTTCGATGTATACTTTCTGATGGCACATTGGACAAGTATCTTGAATGTACAACCATTTCCGAAGGCAAAGTGCATGGAAATAATGATTACATGGTGTAATACGAGCAGATGTTGTAAACTCATGATAGCAGATTGCACATACATCATTTATTTCTTGTAAGTGGCTCCCTTTTATTTCAGGAAGTGAATTAATTTTCTTCACAGCAGTCCTACGATTCATGAATGTCTTCCAGCCATTTTTGGCTTGTAAGTAGATGTTAAAATATGCATGTAGGCACATCATAAAAGCCCGAATTTTACTTCCTGACTCAAACATCATAGTGTAAGCCCCATTTCCAAACATTACAACTCCAAATATAAATTCAATAATACTGCCTGTTGAACGAACGTAGTAGACATAATCGTCAAGCTTTTCCCAGAGGACATTATAGTAGCCATCAATCATGAATAACGTATAAACAGTGAGAGAAACAATTACTTTTAAGCACAGTTCCACACAAAATGCTGTAACTGCAAACAACCATGTATTTAGTGCATAGTGATGCCAAAGAACATAACTGAGTAAGACAGGAAGAATAAACAGGCAAGCAGAGACAAACAGCACAGGAAAATGTCTACGAAAAGATGACACATGAGAGGCACTGAGAGACATTAATACAGGGTCTGTCATTCCATGGATGAAATGCAGGACTGCAGTTAATAAAAGGCACATGTTTCTACTTAAGCGAATAAGTCTCTCTTCTGGTCTTAGCCCACTTAACCCAGTCTGAAGAGCCAAAATAAAAAATAAAACAGGTGCAACAAAGCCAAGCCGCCTGTCATCTTCCTCAGTTGATCCAATAAAGGCCAATATTCCAAGCCCCAAGTAATGGGCTACTGAGGAAATTACAGCACTCATGCCCAGTACAGTTAGTGTAGAATCACATCCACTAATTATAAGATTGCAAATGAGGTCCCAAAAATCATCCCAAGAAATAAAGAAGGAATCAGTTTCATTTGCCATCCTTAAGATGTACATTAACACTGTAGCCTGAGCTGTAACTCTTGTTAGCCAAAAGACTCGCAGTATGTCTGGGAAACGAATCCTCTTCCATGTGTCCTCCATCAACAACTGTAATCCATAAATTCGATACATATGCCTCACTAAAAGATAAACATATCGTGTGGAATAATAAAACCACTTCAGTTTCACTGCCAAGACAAGCACTGTATTTAATGTGAGAATCAAGGAAGAAGTAAACACTAAAGTCTCTCTGATGTGTAATGGTAGCTCTGTGATTAAGCCTATTACAGGAACCAAGAGATCCAAAATAATTAATTGTGAATAGATGGAATGAATCTGGAGTAGTGTAACGTATCCAATTCCAAGTGTTAGCTGTAGAACGATAAGTGCCATCCACAGCGAGGGACCTTTTCGAGGAAGCAGCTCAATTCCAAAAGCTGATGTGTTGTAGGCACCATAGAAGTCAATGTGCAAAGAAGCATAATAATTCACCAACACGGAAGTTGCAGCTAATAGAAAGGCTGAGCTGTACATGTAAAACTTGAAAAGTGATCGTTGTGACAAGATCAGAACAATACTGGATACAAATATACCTGAAAGAAAGAAAGAAAAAGTCATTTGAATGAAGTCTTTGTAAGAATGTTTCCCCACTAATAGTTATGATATTCTTTAATTAGGAAATATGAATATTTTCAGTTATGAACATTAAGCCTCAAGACGATTTAGGCGTAAAGGGCAATAAAGGTTTTGTAAAGTCAGAGTTCAGGAGGACAGACCAAACATAATAAATTATTCTTTAAAGTTTCATTCCTTACTTTCTAATTTCCAAAGTATTTCAAGTAACACTGTGTATGTCCAAGGCACCAAATTACTAAATTATCTCTTCAAGATGAATGTGTAGTGGTACATACATTTTAACAAGTTTTAAAACTCAAAAGAATATGTCCTTTATCATTTCATAATCATTAAAATTAAGATAATTTTAAAAATTGGGTTTAAAATAACCCAAATGGAAAACATTTGTTCCTATTAAGTTTTAGATTCATTTATTATTGATTGATTGAGACGGAGTCTCACTCCATTGCCCAGGCTGGAGTGCGCTGGCGATGCAATCTCAGCTCACTGCAACCTCTGCCTCCCAGACTCAAGCAATTCTCCTGCCTCAGCCTCCTGTAATCAGCTGGGATTACAGGCACCTGCCACCACGCCCAGCTAATTTTTGTATTTTTAGTAGAGACGGGGTTTCACCATGTTGGCCAGACTGGTCTCTAACTCCTGACCTCAAGTGATTCCACCGCCTTGCCTCCCAAAGTGCTGGGATTACAGGCGTGAGCCACCGCGCCCAGCCAAGTTTTAGATTTTTTTTTTTAAAGCATTCTTTAGGAAATCAAGTTCAAGTTTTATACTTCCACCTAATTCCTCCTTTTCTTCAAACTGTGAACTCATGGCAGCTCTTATTTCCTACTCCTTAACTCTGAGCATTCTCCAAAGGATCCAAAATTCAGTTTTTCTTTCCTCCTAGTTTCCTTCAGACTTAGAAACATCCTCCAAGTTCCCTTTTTCCTGTACAATGCTGAATCTGTTTCTTAAAATAGTCATCTCTTTTTATTGTTCTTCACATTACAAAAGTAACACTCAGAAAACCAAGACATGTTTTTAGAAAATGATAATTCTCCTTCCCCCACTCCATAGACACCATCTTTCTTTGTACTCTGACAGAAATGCACATTTTAAGTAGGATTACAATAAACACATTATTATCCAAGGTTTCAACAATGGGAATGTCATCTGAATACTCACCTACTTTCACTCCTACATTACAACTGCAAATTTCCAAAGTTCTGAAACTCAACTTGCCTTAACCTAGAATCAGCTTTTCCTTGTGATTTGCTATTTCAGTTGAAGGTACCATTATTGTTCTCTTAGAGATACTCCCAACCCAGCCCCACATGCTCAAACTTTGCCAATTAGTTGCCAAATTCTTCTAACACCTCTATCCCCCTTTTCTGTGACACCAATCAATTAGTCTGTCTCAAAAAAACCTTCATCTTGTCCAAATCCATCTACAAGCCATCACCAAATTGCCTTTCTTCATTCCTCTGCTCAAAATACTTCAGCGGCTCTGAAATTACTATTAACTAAAATCTACATTCTTGCTCCTGGCACTCAAGGATCCAATTTGCTTTACAGTAATATTCCTCCGAACACACACACACACACAGACTTGGGTTCCCCAAACACATTCTTTTCTCCACTATAGCTACAGCAGTGTTTACATTCTCTTTGCTTGGAATGATGTCCCCACCAACTTCCCAATCCCTGACTGTTCAAATCCTACTTATCCTAGCATCCTACTTTCTTTGATAGAAACTGTTCTTTCAGCATACCTGCAGAACTCAGTGAAACACTGAACACTCATACCACCTGATACTGTAGTCTGCAGTTATCTAAGCATAATCTACCCTATTATACATGTATCTGTAACAGAAAGCAAGGATCCTACCTTGTCCATCTATGGATCCTACAATATTTTGTACAAAGTAAGTACAATAGTATTCACTGTACTTATTGGGACATTGGGAATGACAGTGGGAATGTCTGTCACTTCTGGATGTTTTTAAAGGCAATGACAAAATACAGCCTGCTTGAAAAATAAAATCTATGAAAAAGACAATGAGAAACCACACCCTGGAGTACAGAAAAAGTGACAAACTCCAAGTTAAAAATCCATCTTGGCCAGGCGCGGTGGCTCACACCAGTAATCCCAGCACTTTGGAGGCTGAGGCGGGTGGATCACTTGAGGCCAGAAGTTCGAGACCATGTCAATATGGTGAAACCTTGTCTTTACCAAAAATATAAAAATTTGCCAGGCGTGGTGGCACGTGCCTGTACTCCCAGCTACTCAGGGGCTTGAGGTGGGAAAATCGCTTGAACCCAGGAGGCAGAAGTTGCAGAGAGCTGAGATCACGCCACTGCACACCAGCCTTGGTGACAGAGGGAGACCCTGTCTCAAATAAATACATAAATATTAAATAAAATAAAAATCCATCTATCCACCTTATTTCAGCAGGTAATTAAGACACTGCATATTATTACAGTGGACGCATTTCACAATCCATTGCACATATAGGCAAGGGCTAGTTCCTTTAAATGATGACTCTGTCCAGGGATTTAAAATGTATTCTGTGCCAAAGTGTCAAGTCATTTGTGAAAAGGAAAACAAAAGGACACAATAAGGTAGAAGACATATAAACCTCTAAATACAAACCACCTGATTCCCCAAGCAAATGGGCCACTAATAATCTCCCAAAGAGTTGTAAACGCAGAACAGGCTCTTTTAACAGGAAATAGGTAATTTTTTTTTAAATGGAGTTTCACTCTTGTTGCCCAGGCTGGAGTGCAATGGCGTGATCTCGGCTCACTGCAACCTCTGCCTCCCAGGTTCAAGCGATTCTCCTGCCTCAGCCTCCCAAGTAGCTGGGATTACAGGCATGTACCACCATGCCCGGCTAATTCTGCATTTTCAGTAGATACAGGGTTTTTCCACGTTGGTCAGGTTGATCTCGAACTCCTGCCCAGAAAAGATTTTTTTTATTGGAAACTTCTTCCATGGAAGGTAACAAGGAAATAGAATTAATTCAGCCTACCAGATGCCATATGTAATCTTACATTCTCTACATGGAAAACAACCTTATTTTCCTGAGACAAAACTTCAGAAACTTTAAAACAAATCTTCTAAGTTGGGTCAAAACCAAAACAAAAAAACTCTAGTTCTACTTTATGCCACTTAGAGGGGAGAAAGTCAAGCAGGAACCGTAAATTATTTTTGTCAACTTGCTATTCACAAAGTAGTAAAGTAATCTTCAGTAACTATTCATGAGCTTTGCTATAATTTTATAACTATTTTTTAAAATTCTAATAACTTTTCTCCTGAAGCTTGTTTTTACCACACACAAATGAAGAAATGATTTGGGTTTTAGAAACATTTCTAGTGAAAAAGTGCCATTGTGCTTTATGCAAATGTATCAAAGAAAAAAGGGGAAGGCATCAAATAGACAAATAATGTAGTAAGACTACAACCTCAAAATTTGGATGTGTCCCAGCAAGTAACAATCTGACAATACTCTATCCTGATTAAAATCACACCCCCCAAGATGTAACAGTGAGTTAACATTTCAAGAATAGTACACGTTTTAATTCCTACCCAAAGTTTGTAGGTATATGGGGTTCACAGATTTTCCTTATAGTCACGTTCCTACTTATGGAGTTTGGGAAGAATCTGCTCTCATTTTAAAAGCAAACATCCCAAGTAATAAGTCTCCAAAGTAATCATCTTTCTCATGGCCTTTGCAGAATAATATCAAAGTTTCAGTGCATTCTTACATTAGATATGAAATGCTTTCTTGGTATTTACACTGTAGATCTAAGAAAATATAAAAGTCCAGAGACAGTTTCTCATTAGGATTTGGAAGTGACTTGCACAAGTAATCAAGGCTGTATATAAATGCTGCTTCATAAAAAATTAAAAGAGAACAGAATTTACTGAAATCACAACTCAGAGATCCCAGTCCAATTCTCCTGTGATTAAGAGAGTTCACTAGAGTTTTCAAGGTAGTCAAAAAGAGGGAGGTATCCAAATCAATTCAGGAACTTTGAAACTATATACGAACTCAACTCATGAAAGTTCAGGCCTTCTCAATCTGGATTACCAAAAACAGGCAAATAAAAACAAAGGAAAAAATAAAAAAACTTACTATACATGTTACATAACAAAGTGTTTCACTCTTTTATGTGTAAAGTCTATTCATACCCTTACCCTCTTCTGGAAACTTATGACTAAAAATCAGGGTACAAAACATAATATTTACAATTCTCCAAGTACCCGAAATACCTTTAAAACAAAAAGCAACTTGTTGAAAAACATTTCAATACCTGACAGAATATGGAAAAGCACAGAAATAAATGTTATTACTACCTTACTCCCAAGGGAGCCTTCTGCAATGAAGTTTACAACAAAGTGTCTTGAAATGTTGTTAATCTGTTAGCATACTTGATAAACTATAAAGAAAAAATTTCTATTGGATTCTTATTTTAGGTAAAAAAAAAAAAAATGGTATTCTAAGTATTAATAACACAAAATTAAACTTTTGCTTTTAACCTGAAATTATAACAAGTATGCTTTTATCAAAAATATATGAACATGGATTTTAAAAAGCCAAACCCTACAGTGAGGTGTTAAATGAAGAGTTAAAGCAAGTTTTTCTAGTTTGTCTTTCCCATCTGTGATATCATAAAAAAAAAATTAGTATTTGGTCTTTATCCCATTTTCTGACATAGCTTCTAAAATCCTTGGAATCTCTGGAGTGATGACTGTTTTGTACAATAATCAGATGACTGGTGCCTGGGGGCCCCTAGATAGCTTCAGGATGGGGGCTAGGTAGCCAGGAGAATCAACCTAGTGATTAAGGGTTATACCTTTGATTCCTACCCCCAGCCCCCACATTTGGGGAGGGGGAAGAAGCTGAAGCTTGAGTCCATAAACCAATGACTAGTGATTTAATCAATCATGTCTATTTAAGGAAGCTTCCATAAA